TTAGTCGGTTAAAAAAAGTGTAACCTTGGAAATATGTTAATAACATGCCGAGAATTACTTTTGTTGTAACGAGATAATCATAGCGGTGATAACGTTTAAATATGTAATTTTTAACTTTTAACATTCGATATCAACAATAATTTATTCAACAAAATTATCGTAAATAGTCGAGTGTAAGAAATATATTATTTTTATTGACAGTTAAACTAAAAACGATTAATGTTTTTTTTTTTATTATGAACTCGAGATTTGAATCTAAGTTAAGTAGTATTGGTGTTGAGTTCAACCAAATTACCTGGTACCCATATTTGTCAATCTATTGTAAGTTATAGTAACTTATTGTAAGTTACTATCGCATATAAAATTTAAGTAAAAATATATTTAATATTTGAACAATGCACACATGTCATAACAATAAGAGGCCAGCCCGAGGATGCCACAACATTTTGTATGGCTGCAAAATGTCACATATAGATTTTAATGTTATTAATTTTGTCAACCGTATTTCCAAATGTCATATTAGACCTATAGTAAAATATTATGTTACCTATACTAAAATATTAAACTTGGATCTAGATTCAACAATAGCAGTTTTGATTCTGTTTTTTGGTATTAAATGGGCCAACTCCATTTTACTAGAAATTTTGAAAAAATTACCACTAAAACATCTTATTTTGTTTTTTATATGAGCATCTGCATTAAATTTGCGATTTATAAATAAAATTTTATAAATAATTATTACATTTTACACCTGCGGTGTATATGGTATGTAAAGTTAAACACAATGTAAATTACTGAGTAGTTTACCTCATTTTGGCCACAAATCGAGATCGGTTATTAGACCCAAAGTACAGGATTGTATGTGAACATAAATTATTACAGTCCTAATTAGTATTAAGATTATATGATTAGTATCAATGAAACATAATTTCAATCTACGTTATAAAATACAATTAAAGTCTGTGCGTGAATAAACACAATTTTTCAATAAATGTATATTTTCCTACAGCAGATTACTAATAATTGATTTCATAATACTACAACTAAACGAGTATAATATACTATATTACTATATACATATTATGTGTACTATGTGGTATAAAGATTATTACATAGTAAACGCGGTGTAGATTATTTTCTAGATAAATATTGATAACATATTGACAAAACAAACATGACATTCGTTAATTAACAACATACCACAAACTATACACGCTACAGTGTCAACAGTTCTGTGAAATAACGGTTGGTTGACGGGCAATAAATAGAACGTTGTGCAAATAAAAAAAAAATCCCCACAACACAAAAATATCTTTAAACAACATAACGCCGACAACAGCATGCCGTCCGGTCAATCGGAGCGTTGTCTGAACGGAAAAATAATATTAAGCGATTTTTGCCATGCCTGTAGTCTTGGGAGAAGGGGGGGGGACCAGTAATATATTTATTGTACATATTAATTGTTGCAAGTCTTGAGACGCGATATTAGTTTCCGAGTACTATAATGTTATAGCAGCAATGAGAAATGTTTATAAGGAAAAAAACACTAATCGAAAATTATTGTTGTTAGGTCGACGTTACCGTGATCCACCGCTATCATCTATCCTACCGAAGACCGCGACCTTTATCACCGCCGTCAAGTCACCCTTGACGCTATTGTCCCCGATGGCTAAAACACATAATTAAAAAAAAAACAATAAACTTATCAGTAAAAAAAAAAAATAACAAATCAAAGGGCTGCTGTTGTTTCTTCGTTGGCATCTCGCAGCACACGGCCACACACTTGTTGCGTGTCGTTGTATCAGTTGGCCGTCGCGACGGGTCACCTCCGTGCCGTCGCCGCCGCTATGGTATATACAATATACATTTTTAATAATTTTGCCGGTAGTAACAGAAACCGGGAATATGGATGAGTGTGGATCTAGTCATGTCGGATAATTGTAAAAAGCATGTCACAAGACGCACACCCATCGACAATCCCGTCCGGGGTCGTACGGCAAAATCCCGCGGTGCACGCGGTTTGCGCGCAAGACCTCTGGCGGCCAACACGATACACCAACCATGGTTATATTTTAGATTATTACTAAAAAAAAAAAAAACCCTAAGTAATGAATTAAAACAATTCTGAAACGTCGTCACGGCGGACGCGCGAAAAAAAAAAAGAAACAGTAATTAACCTCGCACGATGGCGACGGGGTTTCGCGCATCGGCGATTAACAATAATTTATTATTATACAGGCGCGTTACAATAATTATGAAAGAAAACAAACGTTTTGAACGTTACTAACTACGGTGTTACATCATTAAAAATATTATTAACAATACTTACAACGCAGACGACAGCGTGCGTGGTTTTGCGACGTACGCGCAAAAAAGTAAAAACGACAAGTGGAAAACAAATGTAGTAGAAACGTACATTAACATGTATAAACGTTTTCTCCGCCGGTTTTTTCGACGTGCAACAGCCGCGCGGCCGGCCGGCCAGAGTGGGGGTAAAGGGTGGAACGGTGCAGGGGGAGGGGTTTTTGTGTGCCGGTTTTCGGGTGGGACCGGTTGGCAGCGGGGAAACGCGACGAGAGCGGCGAGAGTGACGACGGACGTGACGAGTGAGCGAACGACGACGGCCGAATGACGGCGCGGCGTCGTCCGCGGTCCGCCGTCCGGCGGTGGAACCGGCGATCGCGTAACGCGCGCCGTAGTGGGAATTTCAGGAATCACCACTAGCCACCGAGACGTGGCGTTGGTGCGCGCGCTGGGGCCGTCGACCGGTTTGCAATGTATTTCGTTGGTAATGTTGAACCGCGCGCGCCGGTTTGAATTCCGATCGCTGATGACGTCGGGTACACGGTTGGTCGGGTACAGAGTGAGGGCCTTTCCAGTAACTATGGGACGTGGGTTATAATAACCCCAGCCCTTCGCCCAAAAATAATGTCTACTGCCACGGACGAATATGTGGGTTTGAATCTAAGGCCGTAGATTGAATAATATTATGTTGATTTTGTTTTTGGCTCTTCTAAACGATAGATTTGAAATTACTCCTGAGAGTCCTCCCCTGGGAAAAACAAATCCCGTGTCTGGGTCTTAGCCCCATTCACTTAACACCTTCAACGTTTTTTTTTTAGGTCTATGCCTGCAGTCTGACATCGACAAACACTAGGTCACAGCGCAGTGCGCGCAATAAACGTTGTTTTGAGATGCAAAGAGAACAACTAAGATGAACATTATTGTGTCTACTCTCTTTTACTAGAAAATGTCCGGTTTTATACGGGTAGGTACGGCTATTTTTAAGGCGTTTAAAATTTGTTCACCGGCAAACTTTAGTTGTGACTTGTGTCAATTTCAAACCGTTAAAAAGTGTTTGGAAATTGGATGAAACTAATTTGTGCACTCTGATGATAAATCGCTTTATTAGAAAATGTTGTAGGTAGGTACACCAAATTACCAGGAGTGGTCAAGTAAACCATCTTGTAACTGGTTTGCAAAAAAGTTGTTTTTATTATACCAGTTGAACGTTTCCATGAGCCAGAAAGATTTTTCAATAAAAAAGCCTGGAAAATTCCCTTTATAGGTAAACTTACGGTTTTAATTACATTTTTTCTATAAAAAGATAAAAATTGGTAGTAAGAAGCTGAGTTAAAATTTATTTTTTGATTTACTTATTAAGGACTATCGTTAATTGGATTTTACAGGGTAGTCTAACAAAATATGTGTATTTTTGAGCCATACACAGAAATACATCAAATTTACAATGCAAACGGCTGGTTATATTCAAAATTTAAACCACAAAGCGTCTTTTTTAATCATTATACGGATTATTTTTATTTTTATTAACGCAGTATAGTCTAAATATTAAAATTAGAAGCCACCTAATACCAAAAATATCTTTCTTGGTTTCAGTAGCCAATAATGTTATATTTTATTTGTGTCTCATAAAAATTTGTTTTCTGTACATACTACATTTTCTATACCATTTAGTTTTAGTAAATTTTAAATTATACTTTAAATTGTACTGCTATATAATTTTACAATCATTAGATATTTTTAAAAATGTAAAAAGCATGATATAATCACAATTTTAAGATAATTTTGAACCATTTTTTTTTCAAAATTGTTATTAAGTATTCAATTTGTCGTGCTAATGGAACTCAGTTTGAAACAAGATTTACAGTTTTAAGAGTAGGAAATTTAATTGAAAAATATGAATTTTTTTATGCTTCCATGTGAAAAATAAAAAAATTCTTTTAGTGAAGAATTATCATAAAATAAAGGTTTATTAATCTTCTAAATGGAATTAATACACCTAGAAAAAACTTTAAACAACTTATGGCTTTATATATATAGCAAAGAAATTAATATTTAAACACTTAACCATAAAAATAATACACTCTATGCGTTTATGTATTTCAGCAACAATGTTGTCGTCTTCAGCGCTAAAGACAGACTAAGACTGATCATGGTCGAACAGCTCCCTATATACATATACAGCGTCGTCATACCAGAAATGATGACTCATTGTCAACAAGTTTTATACATTTTAATAAAATGTTTTGTAATGGACTCAAGTCTCAGTCTATCATTACCGCTGAAGATGACATAATTGTTGCCGAAATACGTATACACATAGAGTGTATTATTTGTATGGTTAAGGGTTAAAATATTAATTTCTTTACTATGGTACAAATACATTTCACATAGAGTTTAAAAAAGTATATAACACATTTAAATATAGAATAAAATAATTAAAAATTTTATTACATAATTTTTCCAAAGTTTTACCGACAACATGCCTTCAGATGTCAATTTGTAATAAATATAATCAAAAAATAATTGTCTACGCCTTAATAAATGAGGGGATGGACAATCCGTAATTATTAATTTTATCATAGGCAAGATTTCTTTTTACTAAGTAAAATTATAACACTTCAGCTTATTAATACAATATGTATTAATAATATAATAGTATAATATTAATAATAAAATTTTAAATTAACTTAACTAAGCAAAAATGTAAAATAATAGACAACGACTAGTTAGGAAATATCTTATGTGTAGCTTAGTAGAATAATTGTGTACAATATATAATAAAATTATACTGAATATTTTAAATAATAACAAAGTAGTGATTATTCAAAATACTAACTGAAATACATCATAACAATTATAATTATAAGAATGGTAACAGCCATTCCGCTGTATAGTATATATCGATCCTCTTTTAGCCTTTTCTCAATATATTTCATCGTTGTATTAGATAGTCTAAGATTACCAAATATTCCAGACAATCGATTCCGTGTACTTGTCAAACGGTCACGTTGATCTCTTAAGCTTTGTAATATACTCACGCCAGAACCTAATAAGTCGTCAACTCCACGATGTGCACCCTGTACAAACAAAAACAATTAAGTTATTTTTTTTTTTTATTAACACTAATAGTCGTAATGTGGGTATTGTGTCAGTGTGTTTGGCGCTCACTGTTGAAAGTTTGACACTCGGTTACGGGCACTCTGTTTGCCGGGCGATAATTTGTCTGGTAAAAAAGAGTCGCCTCTCCAGCAACCCGTCCGGTTAGGGAATTTGTTTAAAAACCATATCATGATGGCAACGTTAGGCCTATCAGTTGCTGGAAAAAGGAGGATGGTAGCACTCCTAATACTAGACAGTTTGCAGCCTGACCGAGTGTGTTCAAATTGGTGTTGCAAATTTAAATGAGTACTCAATATTTTTAATAAATACAATTATCACCTGTAATGAATTTTGATGTTGTATGGTATGATCGATGAGTATTGTTGTATCATTTATGTCCGAGTTTCTGGTGAATCGACGGTTTAGCAATTCTTCGCGTTCTTGTTCAGCTCTCAGTCTACGGAGTACATTTTGCTGGTGTGTTTTTAGTGCTATCTAATTGATGATTTAATATTTTTGAATGTTCATTATACTGTCAAATTAGTCATTACTCATTAGACTTTTGTTACCTGCAAGTGCTGGTAATCATATTTGAGTTGATCGACACGAAGTTTAGCATTGTTTCGCCTAGACACAGGTTCTTTGTGCACTAACACGACAAGTTGCTCACAATTCCTAATATGGAAAACATAAAACATAAAATAATTATCAAAGAAAAGAAAGGAATCCTTTCCAAAAAAAATTGTATTACTTAGAAATAGTTAATATTTTCGATTGAATTTCAGCTTCGATAGCTTCAGACTTGGAGCTCTCCAACCTGTTAAATAGTTCTTGGGTTTCTAATACGAGCCGATTTGTCTGGTGATACAAATTTTCCATTATTAAAGATTTTGTTCAATAATCGGGCTTCCAAATTTTTTAGAACTATTATAACATTATAGTTAGTAAATTCAAAATTACAACCAACTACTAAGTAATGAAAAATGTTATACTTTATGAAGATTGTAATTTGTAAACTATAGAGTAACAATATAAACACTACAACGTTGATTACGTTGATTTTTCAAAAAAATTGATAACAGACACGTAGCGCGCTAGTATAACAGTGTAGCTTTATAAGAAGTATTAAATTAATAATCAGTAAAAAAAAAAATTAGTAAGAACTTCTTATTCCTTCAACGATCAAACTTCAAAGAAGTACTAAAGAAGATTCCTATAGATAATTCTTTGACACTATCTAAATATGAGATAGTGTAACTAAAATGGTCGCTAAGCAATCAGGTATCAGCTAAAAACACATTTATGAAAAGTAAGAAGGCAGTTTGGCAATTTTAAGTATTGGGTTCAATAAAAAGTAATATAGAGAACATGTTATTTTACCTTCGTACAAAGTCTACCTTTAATACTCAAATTTATAGTTTATATAAACTATAGAATACAACTATGTTAGGTTACCATTTACTTGTTTTCATTTTCCTGAAAATGATGAAAAACGTTGCTTACGTTATCTCTCTTACGGCTTGTCTAACAGTCGGTACTATTTATTATAATTAATTATAATCAGATGAGCAAAATATTTAACTATTAATATTTAAATTATAAAATATTTATAAAAAAAAACAAAATAGTCCAAGCATTTAAAAATTAAATACAAAATCATTTTTTTTTAAACTATATTTGCAATTGCATATACAATATACATATATTTTTTAAAATTTGTATGTACAAATAATTTTAGTATAATTAATATAAAATATAGTATACAATACAACTTGTAATTTTTTATAAAAGTTCAACTATTAATTTTTAAATATGGGTTGACTTCTGATAGCATCGACATTTTGGGGCGATACATGCTAAATCCAGGCATTTTTTATTTCAATAAACATTTGAAAATAATGAGTTATTTAAATGTATTTTTGTGTGACCTTCTCCAATACAAATGTACTGGAATTTTCATGTTACTATACATACTTTTATTCAAAAAATAATTTTAATTGAATAATTACTACTACACTTATTTAAATAAAAAGTTAATTAGGCTGAATTTAAAATTATGATTTGGGTTTTTGTTCAAATAAAAATAAAATTGTATTTTTTTTTTAAATACTTTTATTTCCATGTTTAATTATTATTTTAATTTGTATTTAAATTGATAATTGTTTTCTTATTTTGAGTAGACAATTTTTTTGTATCACTAATATACTGAAAAAATTACTTTAAACAAGAACCACAAAATAGGTGAATTTCGTCTAAATTCTGCAGTTAGGTAAAGACCTTTAAAAATTACTTATTAAAAGATGTGTATTAAATAGTGTAAATTAGTAATAACATACAAAATTAATTTTAAATACTTATTTTAAAATACTGTCCATCCCTAATTATAACTATTTAATGCACGGAGTACGCCTTTTGTTAGTTTGATGATTTGATGAAACAATTGTTTTGAGTTATTATTACTATTAATCAGATAAGAAGTTAGATACACATCTAGTAAACCTCCGACATTATTAAAATCAAGCCCAGATTAAAGTACATGGGACATTTTTTAAACAAAATTAAGTCAAATGTAGGGCTGCCTTCACTTATACTTAATAATTTACACTCCTGGCAGGCGCCAGCTTGTCACTCTCATTTTTCAGCCTGGCATTGATTAAAATATTTATATTCACATAATATGTGTGTTTATGATTTAATATAAATATAAGTAACATAAAAATTAGTTATAAGACAATAAAGTTGTTTATTTTTGTTTACAAAAAATGTAATAAAATTTGTCATAATAAGTAATTTAAATATGTACACGTCAAAAAAAAAAATCTAGGCATATTACAATTTTAGGACTTTACAAGTAATTTATTCATTATTTATTAGTATTAGTTATATTACCACTGCTTCCTGCACCTTCAGTACCTATAAAAAAATGAATACATTATATCTTGATAACATAATTAAGTTTGGAAGTACAAATTTTAATTTACAGATTTAACAGTCAAATATCATGTAAACATTTTATGCAATATAGATTGTATACAAATGAATTATTTACACAATACTAAATAAAGTTATAATATTATATAAATATACTTTTTTATTTATTTTTCACACTTATTCCTTTGTTTTTTTTAACCAAGGCCAGAATTCAAAATAATAAATTTGGAAAAAATGTTATTATATATATTTTTTTTTTTGATGTAGAATGTAATGTATATTATGACTAGTAAATATTGTTTTCAATTCGTAGCTAAAATTTCATATAACAAAAATGAAATTAATGAGGACGTTTAATTTGAATTTTTTTTTTTAATTAATTAAATTTATATCATTACCAGCAAATTTTCCTTCGTCAAACGCTTTTCTTGCTTTTTTCAATTCTTCATTCATCATTAATAATTCTTTAACTCTAGCATATTTTTTTGCATCTTTTCTAACCAAAAACACAATGTCTTCAACTTGTACTCTTCCTGACCGACCAATTTCCATTGCGTTGTGTGTCTAAAAAAAAAAAAATGCATTGAAAATGTGATCTAAGAAAATATATAACCTTAAATGACTCACCATTTCTGTTATAAATTCAATAACAAGGTCTTCGAGTATGTCAACACTTTCGGTGTACGGGTTTTCATCATCACCAAAACCGTACATCATGCAACGCAACTCTTTTGAAAACAGTCTTTTTCGGCCAGCTTTGGTAAATGATTGACTCTCTACTTGTTGTTCTTCTTCGTCAAACTAAATATAATTTGTTTAGTTTTAAATATTTACAAAAATAATTATATTTATTGGTAATTACTTTACAGGGCAATGACGTCATTAGTTAAAATTACAATTTTATGACTGAAATTTGTTAAATATATTTCTATATTTCATTTTTATAGAATAAAAATTATCAAGTTATTATAAGGGTTAGTTTTTTTTTTTTTTATATAGCCTTTATTATTACAAAATAAAGGCTTAAAGTTAAGTATTATTTATTTTTCAATTAAGACATAAAGCCATAATAGGTACTCAACAACTATGAGCTACGATAATTCTACAATTGAATGCTGTTAATCAATAAAGCGATGTTACCATGACTACTACGCTTTGCAAAGTGCCTCAAACTACCTTACACCTAGTTATTTGGTCTAATACTATTATTTCAACTCCATTAGTTCGAAGGTATAAAAAATTTTAGATAATTTTGTCATTTTACTCACAAAAGAGAAAGAAAGTAAAATGGCAGAAGAAATTGTTCCACTTGAACTGAATTTAGTGCATTATAGTAACCCAGTTTTAGTAAAAGAACGAGAAGAAAAATTACCTAAAATTGTATGTATATTAACTAAACACTTTGTTTAGATTTAATCCAATTATGTCATGTATATTTTGAAATTAGAAATTAGATGGGAGAGACGAAGACAAGATCAAGGAATGTGACGAAATATTGAATTGTATCTTGCCTCCAAAAGAATGGGAAGAAAACGGAAAACGTTGGCGACAAAAAGTGTCAAATCAACCGGCTACCAGAATGGACGTAATCAAACTGACGGAAATGTTAGACATGAATTTACAACATTTACAAGCACGAGAAACTGGTATTTGTCCAATTAGAAGAGCGTTGTATTCACAATGTTTTGATGAAATCATTCGTCAGGTATTATTTGCACCTAATATAATTTACATACATTTAGCTACTATACCTACATTTACAGGTAACTATTAATTGTGCTGAACGAGGTTTATTACTGCTAAAAGTTCGCGATGAATTAAACATGACAATGGATGCATATAAAACGTTATATGAGAGTAGTATAGCATTTGGTATAAGAAAATCATTATTTGCTGAACACAATAAGTTAGACATGCAAGATCGGTTAACTGAATTAGAAGCAGATAAACAAAAGTTAAAGGATGATTTAGCAACGGCAATTGCAAAATATGAAATGGCGCAAAGACAAGCAACGGAAAAACAGATTGCTGAACAACAAAGACATAATGAAGCAATACATGTTTTAAAAAGATCCAATCAACAACTAAAAGCTCAATTAGAAGGTATTATAGCCCCAAAAAAATAAAATGATAGTAATAGATTAATAAGATAAAATTTAATTTAATTTAAATAGTTTTAAATATAGCTAGGACATTTTAAGTTCACAACTCATAAGATTATACCTAAATAAGTTAAAATTGTATTTTGAAATGTAAATAATATTAACTTAACTAAATGTAGCCTTAGTTTTTTATTTACACAAAACTGTTTGGAATTACAAACTATTTTTTTTCTTCGAAATATATTGAACGTATAAGTATTATAATTTTTAAAAACTATTTTAATATTATATAATTTAAAGAATGATTAAATTTACATTTTAATAGAAATTAAAATATTAGTTTTAGTTTCAAATGGTTTTTATGTAAAATATTATTCATATTATTTTTAAATTAGTTGAAATCGTAATTTAAAAATTGTGCATATACAAGTTATACTGATTTATGTAAACTACATATTGAGATTAAATACACATTGCTGAGATAAAATATGTATTAAAGTTGAAACATTGTTGGTGACAACAACTAATTAGATAATACAATTTTGACATAATATCACCATTTATATTACCTGATCAAATGTATCTTCGGTAGCCATTTCACAAGTATTATACTATTATTTCTAAGTCGAAATGTCTATTGAAATAATTTAGTTTTTTGGGAATGGTGAGTAAAATCTAATTATGTTACGTTTTCGCGAAAAATATAACCTACCGATATATTATGTGATAAGTGATATCTGTTCAAATATTATCTTTGTTTATTTTGATTAAAAATTGAATAACAGTGTTATCACTATTTAATTGATGATTGATAAAACTCATAGACCTATAAAGATAGGTTTATGCATTTACCACAGGATAAAAGCAGATGGGTCACTTTCAATGTAAACGAAAAAGTGACGACCATTTTGTAAAGACCTATTTACTACTGTATAGATGTAACATTATAGTAGTGTAGCCTTAAAAAGATGGCCGCCGCGTTTTCGTGTGATAAGTATCTTCCCCGTGTTAATTTTTATCACTGAATACAAAGACATTGTACAGATTCGCGCGCATTTTACTTATCAACTTAACAGCCATCATATCCCCGGCTTGTATACAGTTTTATGGTGAATGCTCTTATTCTCGAAAATATTAGTAACTTTAAAACATTTTATTCTATAATTGTTGTTGTTACATAAAGTTGGTTATTTGTGTTTTATACCGTTACGTTATATTATTATGAAAAAAAAGTTATAGAGAATTGCTTTATTACTATTAGTCTGCAAAGTTCGAACTCTTTCTACAAATCAAACAAACCTTAAGGTTAAGATAAAACCAAATAGGTACCCAACCATAGTAAATAATAGAATAATATCAATTATATGAAATTATCCATTTGTGTTACCAGATAGTAGTTGTAAACCGACTTCCATTTACTTACTGTCGTAAGATGTTAGATCAAGAGAACGAGTAAGTGGAGTGATAATAATTCACTTATTTCTTGTTTTATCTTTCACGACTACTAATTGTTATTACTTCAAAATTGTATTTTATGTCAAACGTGTAATTAATTAATGATTTATGTTATTAATTTACTTAAAAGAATGATGAACAGCAAAAATGAAGACGTAACACCACCAAAAGTAGCAAAACTACACATCATGTCTATGGCAAACAGCGACGATGATACTGATGATGATGAAAATGATGAAAATTTAACATACGAACAACTTCGAGAAAAAAGAATGAGGGAAAATATGGATATGTTTGAGTGAGTACAATATTTAGATTATAATATATAAGTTAGGCTCAACCTTATATATTTAATTAAAAAATGCATTATTGTTAATTATTTTTTGATTTTTATTTCTTTAAATATGTATTTTAAGCCTGAATAAGTAATACTATTTTATTATTTTGGAAGTATGCAACTGTTAAATTTGTTGATATCTTAAATTGTACCAAATATGGAACATTGTGCATCAAAGATGTATAGCATGAGCAGATATAAACAATAAATACAATTGTTCCATACATGGAACATTGTGCAGTGAAGGGTTAAATAGCTAAAATTGTTATATCAAAGTTTAACTTGGCCACTGATTGTTTTTTTCCTGAGTCCATGATTTCTAGATGCCAGCTGGTAAATAATAACCTATACCTCTTCCTTTCAGGAGTATTAAATTAATAACTTACAGTAAAAAAACAAATACAATAAAAAAAACTTTAAGGAGAAAATGTAATGAGCCATTTTTTTTTTTAGATTTACGGGAGTGAATGAAGCTGCTACTGCTTTGGCAAATACTTTGAAAAAACTAAAACCAGTAAACAAAATAACTACTAAAATTGTGTCTAAGCCTACAAATACGTAAGTATTATGCTTTGTTGTTTTTTATATTACTGCAAATGTTTTCTAAATTTAATCATATTAATTTTTAGAGCTTTGCCCATTAGACGCTCTATGAGAATAGCAAGACAGTCTAATCCACTAGAAACCACTAAAGAAGATTTAGATGACACAAACCATTCTTATCGTTTAAGATCAAAACATACTTCATTATTAATTAATGAAGATGAAAATGATTCTGAATTAAACATAAATGGTACAAACATAATAGACTATTGTTTCAGTATTATGTCTAACATAATAACATTGAGTATATATTGTATTATATACTCAATGATAATAGTTATTCTCTTAAGTATAAACCAGTTATGCTTAATTTAAAATACATAACACATCAAATAAAAAATATACTTCTTGACACTTTTAGACCCTGTAGTTATATCAGAAGAAGACTCTGAGTTTTTTGAAAAACTTAACTCTGACTTAGCTATAAAAGAGCCAGTTAACGACTATCATTCATGTGGTATAAGGAGGTATTATTATATATCATTAATTTACTTTTCAAACATTTGTGCAACATTTGAGTTTCAAACTAATCTATATACATGTATATAAATGTAAGAATTTATACAAAAAATGTCTCATAAATCAATATTACTTGATACATTTTAGATTTACTAAAGTATTAAAAAGCCTTTCCATTAATGAAATGCCAATGAAAGTCATTAATGACCGTATTTATTCACTTGCCATCCATCCTTCAGAAAGCTCACTGATTATTGCTGCTGGTGATAGAAAAGGGAATATAGGTAAATATTATGAACATGTTTTATGTTTAAAAAATAATAACATATTTGTGTTGCTTAGATCAAAAAGACTCGTCAAATATTTTGTTTCTTATTGGCTAGCTAAGTGTCATTTCTATACAAAATACAGAGTGTTTTAAGTTACTTGTTTTTTGTCCAACTTTACCAGTTAACATATTAATGACCAATTTTACTTCTTAATGGCCCAAACCACAGATTTTGAATATTAAAAAAAGTGGTCTATCGTTTAATTATGTGTTTGTTAATTTTATACATAAATATTTATTATGTTTTTTTTTTTTTTTAGCATTATTTAATCAAAAAGAAACTGATGCGAGAGAGTATCGGGTACACCATTCACCGGTTAACTGCCTATCGTTTTGCTCTTGGGATCCTTACAAGTTATTCTCTACTAGCCATGATGGATCGGTCAGATGTGGTGACATTGTCAAACGTACATTTGACACTGTTAGTAAATATTACATAATAAACTTAGTCATTTTTTTTTATACTAAGTTAAAACTAATAACAATATTTAAGGAAATACTTAAGTTTTCTTAAAAAAATGATAATAAACATTTTAATACCATTTATATATAAATGTATTGTACTATTTATTTATTTAAGTTGATATGATTGAATATGTTATGTAGATTTACACATCTAATTTGTGGCCAAGTGGTTCAAACAAAGACAGCCATGTAACATGGCATTCAGAGTACGAAAGAAACCTCCTAATAGGTTGTGGTAGGTAAAATTTATTTCCGTTATTATTTATGTTGGACACAAATGAGTAATTTAATGAAACGTTAATAATTTATAATCTATGTTTAGGTTCTGGTGATGTAGACTTGATAGATACACGCACTCCAATGAAAGTCCAGGGTAGAGCTAGTTGTCATCAGAGATCAGTGCGCACGGTCCAGTCGCACCCTTTGGAAAAACATTATTATTTAACTTCATCCGGAGTGGGGTAAATTCTTGTATTTACCTTTATTGACAATATTTCCAAACAATCCTAATACAAACATAATAATTTTACAGAGAAGTATTGTTAATGGACGTAAGGAAAATGACAACAGAAAAAGTCGATCCAGTTCTAAGGTTTGATCATCCCAGAGCATTAACAAGTGCATTCTTCTCGGCGACTGGTATAAACATGGTTACGACTTGTAATGATGATCAATTAAGAATTTTTGATACCAGTCAATTGACCACTGCTTCGGGTAATTTAGTCATATATATATATTACATTTTTATTTATCCTATCCAATTTACTAAAAATAAATATTAATTCTTCACTGCTATTTAATATTTGTAAATGTTATAAATTTATCATGTTTAGAAGCTGTACGCACCATCCCTCATGACAATCACACTGGTCGTTGGATTTCGGTGTTCAAAGCTAAATGGCAGCCAGGCAGAGATGACACTTTTTTTATCAGTTCTTTGTTAAAACCTAAAAGAGTAAGTGTTTGATATGTTTTTGTAACATTTTAAATTGATTGTATTTATAGAACATTTTCAGCAAACGACAGAAATTAGAATTAAAAGCAGATTTTTTTAGATTACGACTTGTATATTTTATAGCGGTACACAATCAGTATTTATTTATTTATAAGTATGCTCATTAAATAATAATGCATTCTTATGTTATCTTATATCTGTAGAGAATGTAGGCCGTACACATTACACTATACCCAGTTGTTAGCTACCGAAATGTCTTAAAATATTAAACTATGCCAAAAACATAATTTCGCAAATAATTATTTCTAATTTTCTTAATATTCTTGAATAGTTGGTTGACCAAGGCCAATGAATTGAGTAAACTAATTACTTTTAAGCCTGTTTCACAGCTCGTCGGTCCTTAAGTCTTACGCGGAATTTCCAAGGGAAACGTTAGGTATGAAATGACCCTAAAATTTATAAGCGTCACGTTTTCTGTAGTTTGTTATCCATGGAGGATTCATAAACAGTGGACTAAGCTGTGAACTCAATTTTTGTACCCGCTAGAACATTTTTGTGTGACCTATTTACACATTTACAAATCGAGTCAAAATAATTAACCGAGTTATACCAATTGACTTTTTTAACTGCAGATTATGTTAATAATTTTTCAAATATATTATGTTAAGATCACTTATTTGACAAGTTTATAAGTCACAAAAATATTTCATTGTAATACAATTATTTTTTTCATAGTGTATAAAACTGTAAATTGCTTAACTGAGTTGACATGTTTTTTTTTTATAGATGCAAGTTTATGATTCCAAGGGAGCATTGTTACATGCACTTATAGCGGATGATGTTATGACAACCTACTGTCCAGTAATTGAAGTCCACCCTTCACAAGCCATATATGTAGGAGGAAACGCTTCTGGAAAATTACATATATTTAGCACAGAGAAACAACTACAGTAGTTTGTAATTATACACAAACGCCTTCTCATATTGAGATCAAACGTCTTAATACTTTATAAGAAATTTTACTCTTATTTATACTTATTTATGCTCATAGTTATTTTATTAGAAAAAAATCCTATACTCGAGAGTATTTTAATTGAAAACGAGAAAATAAATTAAATATTTAACTATCATTTGTTTAATTTATACAAACATTCGAATGTATTGTAAAAACATTTTTAAAATAAAATAAGTTATTCTACATATCACTATTATATGTTTTGCTTAAGTTAAATTTTTTTTTGTATAAAATCTCTATTCAACATTTTAGCCAGACATAATTAATAATTATTTTAAATTTGTTATCAATTTTTCTATACAAGGTAATTTTTTTAAATTTAACCAGGCTATTGTTGCAATACATTAAAAACTAATGTACAACTAAATTTACAAAATTATTTTTCTCGCAAAGTTACATCGAACAATTTACTTTTCTAGAATTTTTTAACTGTTTAATGATTACAATTAAGAAATTGTCATCTTCAATTTCTGGCCACACTAATAAGTAATAAAAAATAAATTAAATCATAATGAAAACAAATTTTTATTCTCTTCAATTACTGTTAAATGCATTGAGAATAAAACAAATTGAAGATCAATAATTCATTTGGTAATCCAAAAAAAATACATTATCATACTTTTTGTTTTACATTTAATAAATGTTAACGACAATTTTCATAGAATCATCGTTTAAGATCGCCAAGGTCTTCAATGTAATCCTCATCAATTTCCGGCCACTTTTCAGGAATAATATCAAACAAGTCATCCTTGACATCCCCTTGTATGACAATTTCATCGTCACCCGTCACACTAGACCCACAGGCGAATTTTGTACCGAAAAACTTAGCTGCTACTTTCAGGTCGATGTTAAAAGAGTTTAGGCCCGTAACAACAGTAACAGACTTCTTTTTGCCACGGGGTGCTCTCGACAAACACACCTTAAACAACGGTCAAATTTATCTATTAAGATTATAATAGTTAACATTTTAAGCAAACAAAATGTGTATTTACTTGTTTTGGTCCCTCTTCTTTTTTTTTGGACTTCACCATACCTTTGCCACCACGTTTCTGACGTTTTTTTTCGTCCGAGTCGTCCCCACCAACCGAACCACTGGCTGTCATTAACCTATTAAATTCATCGGGCAAATACTTCTCTAACCATTCCCGACAACGTTCTGTGTCTGAAGAAAAATCACAGTACTCCGGTGGAAGTGAACAATTTCCACAATAAAATACTTTAAGTGGATACGAAGGTTTAGAATCTGACTCCTCCTCGGCCATTGTACTAAAATAAAAGCGTCAGGACTTTTTTATGATAAGTGAAATTAATAAGGGGTATTACACAGTTTTTTTGGAATTCCAATTAGCTGACATTAATTTAAATGTAATTACCCAGTTACCCAATAATTATTTGGTACTATTTTTACTACCTAAGCAACACACAGCCCTAAGTTTAGAATAATATAAATCATAAGTATTATTTTTATACTCACATAAAATCGTTTTATTTATATGATTTGTAATTATTATTTACAAGCATTTACAATCGGAGCAACTTAATAACAAACGTTTAACGTTTTAGACTAGAAATAAAATAAAAAATAAAAAATTCTGTATGTAGTTGAAAGAATAACACAATGTTATCAATCTGGTAAGCGTAACTGAAGGAAAATTTGTCATAAGAACATAACCTAAATTTAGATAACGTTGACTATCACATGGAGATTGTAGCATTCTGCTGTAATCTAATCTGTGATTGGAGTATCAATATTTTTTTGGAGGTAATTTTATCATCTAAATACCCATTGCCCCGGTGTTAGTTATATCATAATTAAATCTTAAATACCCCCCTATTTTTGTATACAATCTTCATGTACTTGCCTAAGTCTCATAATTCGTGTAATTTTAACTCTCTTGGTGAATGAACAGTTGTTAGTTAGTAAGTATTATTATGTTTGTTACTCGTTTTCGTTAAAAAAAGTCAACCACGATTTTACTAGCTCATTCTACTTTATATTTGAAAGCAATAATGTATTTTAAAAAAATGTTATGAACTGGAAATACAAAAACTCGATGAACTAATACTTGACTACTATTTGTGAACAATTAATTGCTTAAATTGCCTAATTGTGAAGTATTAATAGCAGGGTCGACCTGTCGCTTAAAGCACCTCGTATTCTAAATCTCTAAAGGGCCCCCCAAAACAATTTTATATGTACATTTTCTATATCTAACAAATTTTCCATATTATATTAAATGCCACGCTGATTCTGATTACTTGTCAATGCTTAAATGTAATTAGGTAGAAATATATTTTTTTAAGGTTTGTTAAACAATCTAGAATAAACTAGAGTCTATCGTTAGCGCTGAAGATGACAACATTGTTGCTTAAATACGTATACGTGGACAATTTATTATTTAATGGTTAAGGGTTTTTAAATATTCTTTATTTGTTAAACAAACTTAATAAAATAAAACGGCAATTTTTAGCTGAGAAGGTATCTCTGAAGAGATTATAAACAATACCCCCAATCTTTCCGAATACACCACCACATATTATTGTACACTTGTCATAATAAATATCATCATCAACTAATATCATGTGTGTTATTTCCTAGAACTATTCATAATATACATTTACAATAGTAAAGGTGGTTTTAGTTATTAGATTTTTGTTTCTGAGTTCATGTTTTGTTAGAACAACTATAATTGCTTTTTAATAATATAACTCAATAATAAAATTGTAAATAAAACAATAATAATTATTTTATTTTACAGAACATCCATAAAATGCAGTCATTTTTAAAAACTGGAAAACTTAACCAAGATCAACAGGGTTCGTCTGATGGGCTCGAAAAATCTAAAACCGCATATAGAGGAATATCCGATAGTACGACTCCGTGGGTTGAAAAATATCGTCCACGCACAGTGGACGAGGTATCCGAACAAACTGAAATTGTGGCTGTCCTAAAACAGTGTTTGGAACAAGGGGCCGATATGCCACACCTGTTATTTTATGGGCCACCTGGTACAGGTAAAACTAGTACCATCATTGCAGCTGCCCGTCAGCTGTTTGGAGATATGTACAAAGAGCGTATGTTAGAGTTGAACGCGTCCGACGATCGGGGAATTCAAGTTATCAGAGACAAAGTAAAAACGTTTGCACAACTGACAGCGTCTGATAAAAGACCCGATGGTAAACCTTGTCCACCATTTAAAATTGTTGTACTAGATGAAGCCGACTCTATGACAGCGCCAGCTCAAGCCGCTCTTAGACGTACTATTGAACGAGAGACTAAAACTACACGGTTCTGTCTGATTTGTAATTACGTTAGTTGCATAATAGATCCGTTGACGTCGCGTTGTTCAAAGTTCAGGTTCAAACCGTTATCACATGACATAATGTTGGCACGCCTGGAACACATATCGAAAGAAGAGGGTATAAAATGTGCTCCACGAGTGCTGGCAAGACTCGTGGATGCTTCGGGCGGTGACATGCGCAGAGCAATTACGTCTCTCCAGAGTACAGCTAGATTGAAGGGAGAAGAAGGAATCGAAGAAGATGATGTCCTCGAGGTCATCGGCACAGTTCCGGACGTATGGTTGGACCGGATGATCGAAATGGGCCGCACCAATGACTACCAGAAAATGGATGGTTTTGTAGAAGATTTAATATTTGAAGCTTATTCGGCTACTCAGGTTTTGGAACAACTGCACGATAAGATAGTGTTTGCTTCAAATATGACTGACAAACAGAAATCGGCGATTTGCAGAGTAATCAGCATTTGTGCTTATAGATTGCAGGAAGGTTGCAGTGAATATGTAACTCTTTTGAATTTATTATGTTCTATAGCTCAAGCGTTAAAAATGTAAACGAAAAAAAAATGTTAAATTTACATTGTACAACATTTTATTTCATTTTAATTATTTATTTTTGTCAGTAGATTTTATAAATGTATTATTTGTTACTTTTATACATAGCAAACAAGGCCATTACAATAAGACATAATTATAATATACTCTGTAAATTCAATAAAAATGTAATGTTTTATGTACATAGGTACATCATACATGAGAATAACTGAAATAATACCGGTTTTAAATATTTTATAATTAATAAAACTAAGTTATTTTTTTTTTTTTTTTATTGTAATATTAAATAATGAAAATACCTACTCAAATGCTCATAATAATGATTGTATTTTAATAATTATAGGTATAATTTGGACAAAATACTGTCATTGCCGGCTAGATAGCGATTTATAAATATACACAATATTGTTGTAATTTATATTCAAACACAGTTAATTGAGACTTATCATTTTTGTCTGCAACTAATTTTATGTTGTGGGTGAGAATATAATTTGCAATCGTTTAATTAATGTAACTTTTGATCACGAGCCAATAAAAATATTAGATTTAGATAAACCTAATAATAAAAACAGATTTTTCTTGTTGTCGTGTTGATTTCAGCAATAATTTTAGTGCCATACTAAAGTAAATGTATAATTTGTCATTTCTACGGTTTAATATTTTCCGAGCCTTAATTATTTGAACATACAAAAAAAGGTGTTACGCTTATACTTGTATTTAAAAACTTTGTGTTATTGTACATCTCGAATTATAAAAATGTAATAAAAAATGCTAAATGTATCATCCCATTTTCTAAACACATAATATAAAATTCATAGTAATTTTGGAAACAACCAAGTAAATAAATGTGATCTCAATTTTTCACAATTTTGTTTAGTTTTTACCCCCATAAATATTTTATTCTCTCTAACAAAACACATTTTTAAAATAATAAAATGAAGTATTAAGGAATATTGAACGATATTTCATATTTTGTTCTTGGACCCAAATTCGATAAAAAGTTTGTTTTTGTCACGGCATGTAAATTTATTTTGATAAATAAGCAAAAGTTTTGCAATTAAACGATTATAACGTAATGCAAATTTTGTTTAATCTAATTTTGGTTTTTTTTTGTTATTGAACTGAGAACCAATAAGAACCTGATGTTTCTTTTTAAAAACATTTGCAAGATTATGTTAAATACACAATTCAGTCATCATTTTATCGCGAACCACTCGCAGTGTATCTCTTAGCGTTTATTAAGAATTTTCATTTTAATGCAATATGTGTGATCTCAATTTTTCACATTTTTTTTTTTTTTAGTTTTCACCTATAGCTTTTACAATACTTCAAAAATAGTCATCCTAAACTGGTTGTCGACATTTTTAGTACATTAGGTTTCCATACAAATTTTTATAATAGTTTTTTTCATATATTATACATCTTGAGAAATAATAATTATTTCTATAATTATTATACTCGACCATCTGATTTTTTTTTTAATCTCAAAAATTGTTTATATTTCTATAGTTTCTTATTTCGGTCTCGATATTTTGAACTTAGGCTTACTTACATATGATTATTACAATTGAGTACAGGGTACAGTTAGATACCAAATCCATAATCAATTATTATGCCAGTGACAAATTTAACTGATAATTTCTATGGGCAAAGGGGAAAAACACCTGTATTTAGCATACTATAATTATTATTATTATATTAAAAAACGGTTTTGATAAGAGGACATTAAAATAATAATTTCGCCTTGCTGAATGGCAAAACACAAGACTGAATAATTAAACAAAGAATAGAAGCTCATTCTGTTTTCGGTACAGTGTAATAGTAAGTGACTGCAGAAATACACACTTAAATACTAAAATAATGGCGTGGAAGTGATTCAATTTAACTGACTGAATTAAATGCATAATTAAAGTCTTGTATGAAACTCAATTATGGAATATACAGGAAATAATAGCTAAACAAATTGTCATCAATAGTAAATGGATAGATACCGGATGGAAATAGATTACACAGAAGTATTAAAGGGTAATTATAAATACACAAACGAGTATTTAGATTTATTAAGTAAGGCGTTGAAAAAGATAAAGCTTGAGGTGAGTAGAGAATCTAATATGTCATGCAAGTAGTAAACAGAAATACAATTCAGATAACGACACTGTTTGTGTATATTGAGAAAACTACTACATATACTTCAATTATGATCATTCTGTCGAATTAGTTAGATTATTTGACTCCTATGTTAAATATAGGACCTCTTTAAACACAAAATGTGCAATCCGTTTCTGGCCAAAATCTAATGTGCGTTTTTAAACGCTGAAATCGAATGGTTTCTATGTTGACTTCTGCTCGTTAGTTGTTTAATAACAAGCTGTGTGTAACAAATATAATAGGTTTATAGTGTATTAAATAGTATTAGGTTGATTTCTCGATAAAAAAATAGCAAGTAGCTGGTATTTTTATTTCCAAAAGCCAAATTCGTGGCAGTTCAAAATGCTAGGCAATGTGATATCCACAGGAACGTCAGCCATTCTGGGAGGAAGTAACAGTTGGCGATTATTTGGAAAAAAGGAACAATTTACCATCACAGTGTACCACAACATCCCTCAAGTAATTTCAAAAAAAGATCCTAAGCCTGGATCTTTGCCTGCAGGTTTGATGGTAGGTATTTCCAAGTGCTATTATATAACACAATATAATAATTTGTTATTTAATTTTAGCATTTAAAAGCATAACAAATCTCTTAATATAATAGTATAATCTTACCAAGTCCGAATCCAATTATTACTAAATACTATTTACTAATATTATAATTTGTTTTTTTTTTTAGATTTACTCATAACAAGAAGTGGTTCCCCACCAAGTGGCAAGTATTGTGTGGATTAGGTCTATGTACGATGATGTACATTTTGTTCTCAGTTCTCTCCTTATAAACCGCAGTGATCCTGTCATTATTGACATTTGTTTTTTTTAATAAAATTTAATAGTCCACACACACACTAGTAGTGCAACACTATCAATTAAGTACTTGGACGCCCTTACCACACATTTTTGGGTGGTTTTACACAGTAAATATATAATTTAAAACATCATCTTACACGGAGATACCACTTGAAAAAAAACGAGCCAAATACTCTACCCCATGGGTGGTTTGGAAACGAGTATAATAAGGATATATTTTAGCCTTTAAATTGTGTTGAATATTTGTGTCCAATACACGAATAATGGCCACCACCAATTGATCGAGCCCCATTTTACACCAAACGGTTCTGATTAAGACGTTATTTATGAAAATTACAACATTGTTGTTTGTATAGTAGTAGGTAAATGCATTGTACTCGAAACATCATTATAATTTATGGATAATCCTAAAGTTTTTACCATGGCGACCGTTCCACCGTGTACCGAGACGTTTGTTCGATATGACAACGTTAAGTTTTCTTAAAAATTACAACCATAATAAGTTAACAACAACCTTGACCTGCTGTCGTCTAGGAAGTTAAAAATCGTCGTTATAATAAGTATACTATTACGATCGGTTAACTGTGACCAAGTCAATAACTCGGAAGACGTTAGACCGTTTTAAATTTAGTAAAGATTTAGTATGTTTTTAAAAAAAAAAACACAACTCCATGCCTTATATGTATAATCCTCGACGTTCGACTAGCTAGAATTAACTACACTAACAGGTTATTACTATAGTATGTACCGGATATATATGTAAATAATTATCTTTCTAATCGGTTCCGGTTTGAGTGGTAATTTGACCGTAATACGATTACATTGACATACATATAAATGTGTTTGGAAGCATACAAATAAGAGTAAATAGACTAGTGAATAGGTTTTGTAGCAACTGCTAATTATTAGTACATACTTATTACCTACACATAATACACACCTTTAAAATACACCATTTGATTGCCAATGTCTCGTGGACGATATTCCGTTTATAATATGTTTGTTTTGTCGAGAAATTGATGGAACTGTAATTTAAACCACCTTATCCTGTAAGGAAAAATCCTTGATTTTTTTTTTTATATATATTATACTAATATGTTATACAATAACAATGATGTAATTTTAAATTCCACACGTATTTACCTGATACCGAGATTTAAAATGACATCATCGGTTTTGGATATCAAAGGTCACATTCCTAGTAAAAAGTATTACTTCGAATAAATTGTTTAATATTAAGTAGCATTCAATTGATCCCCTTTAAACTTGAGCAAGCTCAACTGCAAAACAAAAATGCTATGACTAGAAACTTTAAATTTAGTTCTAAGATAAAATACTTGCAAAAAACATTTGAGTATCGAACCATTATATTTTTGAACCATTTTTAACTTATAGCCAAGTGTTTGGTAAAAGCCGTTTGGTGAACATAAGATTTACTTTTGATTGAATTATTCCTATTAGGTATCATTTTTTTATATAATAATTATTACTATTACAGTAATATTGTGGTAACAAACAAAATTTCTCAGGCATAATTATCCACGCTAATATAATATTTAATAAAGCAGAGGTAAACAACTTCATTAGTAACCTAAACGTGCAACACACGTTTAGACACTATATAAATCTTAGTTTGTTATAATAATATATACAGTTTGAACAGAATTCGGAAATTAGTTTATTAAATCAAATTTTTCTTGTAAAAATCAAACTTGGTGCACAAAACAACCTAATATGAGAATTTCATAATAGTATACCTATTTTATAGTGTACTCTAGAATAATCAATACCTTACCTTCATAGTGTTGTCGTATATACCTATAAGTGAACCCGTACTACACTGTTGGCTTTTTTTTTTTGTTTCTATTTGCCTTTTGCATTGTATTTTTAACCTATCCGAGTACTACTATTGTTCTACTGTTCACAGTAGTATGCTATCTGGTTTGTATTATACTTACCTACTTTAAAGGGAGTTAGGACAAATAGCAATTATCAACGTTTTATAGACGGAAAATAATTCTATATATGAGTTGATTTTATTTCATATTATATCATTGCTGGTCGATTAAATAATGTCGTTGTCAAGGCAACGCGAAATAACTAAGATAAATTAAATAGGTACTTAACCCAGAAACGAGTGCAGTGAGTGTGATTGCTATGCTCTCCAAAACACATTTAACGAAGACAATCATCTTCTTAATTAATTACTATTAAACAATCTGTTTTTCTGTACTCTGTATCTAGTATAGCTGTATGATTATAAGCGTTGACCTAACCAACTGGACATTAGTTAAAACAGTAGTCTTTAAACAAAAGGACCGACGGCTTTATAACAACATTTTTTTCACAACAGCTGATGACTGTTTTTTTTTAACAACGGCAGTTGTGACGGGTCAGAGGCCAGATATTCAATATAGATATTATCCAGTAACAACTATAAGCATTTTGCACACCTTGCAACAATCAAATAGTATAAAAAACCGACTTTATCACTTAGAATATCATGTACATTTTATTTCCTAACAACGCGTTATAAAAATTGCAAAAACGATACATATATATATATATCGTCGATTTTTTTTTTTTAAATAATTATTAAGGTAAACAAAGCCTGTTCATACAAAAAAAAAAACAAAAAAAGGCAATTTTAAAAAGCTAATTTTTTCATCAGCAAGTACACACACTGGTCCACTTCAAAACCGTGCAAGTTATTGGGGTCGCCCAAGAGCCGCATCAAAAGTCCTCCAAACGACACGTAGGCGGCGCTAAAAAAAAAATAATAAGAATAATGATGAACAATGTTTGAAAAAAAAAATGCAAATCCACACACACAACAATTTGGTCGTTTGTTGTGTAAAAGTAGGGAGACTAGAAATTGTTAAAATATACAATTTTTGTCTTAACGGAGTAGTCCGCATTCACTTTTACAATAAACGACACAATTATTAGTAGTGTCGATAATAATAGTATTGGATCTGGTGTAATATTGTGTGACATGCAGTTTAAGTGCATTGTTAAGAGGCACCCCAGGCCCAATTAACACGGGCAAGATACTTATCACATAAAAACGCGACGGCCATAGTCTTAGAGCGTCGCAGTGTGACCATTTTCGTAAAACTAAAAGTAGAGTATAATTACTGTTATACGAAAGTCAAAACAATAATATTGATTTAATGACTGGTAAAATTGCTTCAAGAGGTTTTAATATACTTATATATATATATATATATATATGTAATAGCAATTGAAAAATTTAAGTTATAACTAATTTAAACGAAATATACATACATTTTATAAAATACAAACCGTAATATCGATATTTTAAATTGATAGCACTAAATAGATAAGAAAAGGTAAGGGTACGGTCATTGTATGCCTTTTCAACATGGCCGTCACGTTTTTGTTTACTTTTAGAGTGACCCTTCTGCTTTTATCCATTCTGTGGTACATATTATAACGACAATCGATTATAAAACGTCGGCTCGATTAACCACCGACCTACTGCGTGTGTGTGTATGCTTGGTGAACTATACTATTGTTTTTTTATCAATTAAAAAAAAAACCTATTAAGTGATATTACACAGTATAATACAAGATGTACACATATATTTAGGTCGAAGGCGCTACCGCAAGTTTGTGTGAAGACAATATTTATTATTATATACATACATACATATTATTATTACAATAATACATTAAGATAATTAACAATTGCACATAAATTACATAAAATGATTGTTTTTGCTAACCACCGCCGTTGTAGTGTAGAAAATGACTGGGCGCGCAGTGGAATGTGTTTAGTGGTCGTGAGTAGCGTTCAAAATCAATCTACACAACCAGCTAATCACACTGCCACTGCGCAAACTCCAGCCTGACACACATAGTCTTCATCGTGCCTGTATACCTTCTTATTGTTATTGCAAAAAAAATTTGTAAACAAAATTATACACATCAACAGTGGCGCAATTAGGGGATGGGGAGGGCCAAGTTTTCTTAGTACAACCGTTTAGGAAACCACCACAACCCTCCACCTGCTGTCAACGCGACATCAAGGTGTAATTGCGCCACCGCATATTATTTTAATCTTATTGATAGTTTTACAGACAATATGTTTATTGTGGTTTGCAGTGTCTTAAACATATACTAGGTGTATAAAATTGTCATCGTTCACCACAATGTACAATTACAGTGCAAAACACAAAAATTCTGACAAAACGAAGAGAACATAAGACATAATAAAATCGTTGTTTATTTTTTTGTTCTGCAGTGTAATTAGAGCTTTTTAACGTTAACACAAAGAAAATTTGATTTGGTTGGATTAATGATGGTTTGTGGCAATCAGCATTCAGCGAGTCTGCTGTCAGAAGGGGCGTAGATTAGATTAAATTAAAAGGAACGCTTTACCACAGTGATAAACAAGAACGTGTCACCATCTGGTGGCATTGAGCAAGTTTCCAATTAATTAGACATAAAACGTGTTCACCGAGAATTTTTTACCCAATGCCGGTTTCTCTTGGTGTTAAACAACACAATACACTTGTTAAATATGGTTTTTATTTGTATTTGTGGCTAAAAAAAAAAATCAATGGCTAAATATTAAAACAAAAATAGTACCACCTTCCTTTCGTCTACACTTTTTAAACATTCATAAATCATAGACTATGCAAAATTGATTTTAACACATCGTTTCAAACAGAATTTTAGATTCGAGCCATCAAAGAAATTGTCTAAGCTAATTAAAAAAATAAAAAACATGGATTATAAAACAAGGCGGCCATGTTTTTTAGTCCAGAGAATAATATTTCAATTACTATCTGAGCTTACCTTATAAGTACATAAGCTATATATTATATATACTATATACTTATAAGGTCTACTGGCATAACGTATGCACTTCAACGATAAAAAGAATCTGGCATTTTCCTAACAAGGATATTGTATGTGATGTTTTTTAGAGAGAGTGTGTGTGTGTGTTTATTATAAGAAGGCGTTCATATTGAACGTTATACAAATATGTATCTCAACGATTGCAGCGTTTTGCACCAGTGGTCGACTTGATAAAGTTTTTGGATCACCTTCGGTAGTTGGGTATGCAAAGGACAGTGTACAATATCGGTTTCAATATCATCCGACCTTGCTAGGTGTATACTTAAACCTTGAACGGTGATAGCACATATATTTATATTGCTGTTATATGTTTGAAATAATTATAATGCATACAGTGTGAGCAACGAGGGTTTGTCAGAGGTACACCAGATTTACATTTAAAAATCAATCAAATCCATAAAATATATGCATACTATCTATAGCATTGTCTACCGTGTCGTTGGGCATATTATTTAGAAGTTTTTGAAATTTGATGGAGGCAGCATTTAGGCCTAGTACATATTTATCTATCAGATTTAATTAATATTGTACACCGCTATGTGCGTTATAAGCCTAACAATGTTTGGTAAACTCCAATGATTATACAACTCTACATGCTATCGTCTTGCACTTGAATATGATAATACTAAGTCACCCGCATAAAATAATTAAAAGGATGGCCAAAATACCTATATAATTGACAAGAAACGACAAAAAAGCCAATAGGCAATGTGTACATTTTGTAAACAAATGTTTTTTTTTTAAAACTATTTTTATGTTTTCACTTATTTCAAACAAATGACGACTATAGATTTTCCAAAGTATGCTTAAATGCCTTTATGTACATAATTCAATCAAACTTTGAATACATAAAGAATTTAGTTATTTAGACTATGTTTCTCGCTTTTGTAGAAAAGAAATGGACTTAATTTAACTTTTGACACTTATCTGGTAGCAAATAGTTTGGTGTTTTTGGCATACAATGTTTGTACAAAAACAAACAGATTATTTCACTCTTTTTAACATTTCAATAAAGGTAAGACAAACTTAAGTAACCACAAGTTTTTTATAGATTGTAATATTTACTCTAATTTTAAAAACATTTTTAGTATTTCAACATTAGTTAACCACACAACAATAATAAGCTGGACAATTATAATTGAATTAAATATTACTTTTCCCTTTTTGGAAAAATCATCCATCATTCGTTGAGCGAAAACTTATTATTTTCATAAATACCAACTAAACAGATCAAATACAACAGTTGCACACCACTTTGCATAGATTTGGATAAACGACGTTAACCAATTAGTCTTTTGGTACCGTATCAAAGCTATAAGAAAAAAAATTGGTAAAGTGAGTAGCATTTTTTTTCCATTCGCATAATTTAAAACAACTTGTGTTTTATACAAAAAAAAAAATTATGACAATGCCATTCAAGTGTCATAATATGACACTATTATGATACCAAGATATTTGTGCGGTTAATGTAGGCAGGAATGTAGTAAATCGTGTGCCAAGATAAAGCCATGTTATAATTTATACTATACTACTATTATCTAATATAATATAACAATAATAATAATAATGTCTAATCGATGGAATCACGTGGATGGAATGCGCCTGGCCGAATAGGTGGCAAACGCCGAGGTCTTAGACAATAATTCAAAAGGACAACGATGATAATTATTATTAATGTTAAACCGTAGGTCGACCTTTCTGCCCGCACACACATTATATACCTCCTTTAACCGCCGTCGTCGTCAAATGGTAATAAATTGTTCATTATTAAAAAAACATACACACAGTAGTAATAACCGCCGTAGTCGAGGCGTACATGCGTTATTATAATTGATATATAATATTATGCTGGTCGTCGCCGTCGTGTCGCTTTTATACCGTCGCCCATATTATTATACACTACGGTTTTTATATATATATATATTTTTTAAACGATGACCCCCGTCTGATGACCGCCGATGGCAATAATTGTAACAAGAAGGCTTTCTTTTAAAAAAACAAACAAATTACAAAAAAAAACCGAGACCTGGCAATCCCACCCCCCCTTTTTGGTGCCCTAACCTATCCCGGGGGGACAGAGAGAGAAACGATACTACACCTGTGAAGTGAGTATAATATTATCAGCTAAAGATTACTGGCCTTTTACCCACTGTTGTCTTCTTATCGCCAAGAATGCGGAAACGGGGACCCGACGACGACACGTTGCTGTTGATAAAAATCGCCATTGAATTTCTTGGGATTATATTATGTGTGTCGATAACACGGGGCGAACGACAACAGCATACATATTATTATTAATATAATATGTTAACACCGATATGCCAATTTAAACGTCAAGTAATAAGAGCAAAAAAAAAAGAAAGTTCAATTATAAATCCAATTAAATATTATGTTGGATTTTATTTTATTTACCAAGAAGATAGACGAGTTCCACGAGGATTTAGTAACCGAGAACGCCCTACATACATATTCATGCAAACCACAATATTCAATATAATGTTAAAATTAAATAACAAGTTATAATAGATCATAATAAAAAAATTAAAATAAAGTAATACATTATATTGTGCAGTACCTGATTTTTGTTTATAATTAATAAGTACAATAATAATAATATATAATATAATACACATGTAAAAATAACAACTTAAAAACAAATATAATATATTATAATAACTATACTTAGTAACAAAAGCAAAACGAAAATAAAAAAACTATTGGGTAGACCTATTACAAGTGTAAAGCAGTGGGGTTTACATAATCGAATCCATCAGTGGAACGGCCATGTATGTAGTTATTATGTAATTGTGTGCATGCACTTACATTGAGATTTGGATGTCTGAATATACATCACAGACATTAATTAACACTTATACAG